GTCGCCAGGTAGTGGGCCGGCTCAGCAACCCACGTGCAGGTGGCCCACCACAACCGGTCTCCAGCCTGAGACGGTCGGCTCGGGATCTCGCACGATCGGCTCGGGATTGCGGCTGCCCACGCGTGCGGATCAGGCGACAGCGATAGCCACGGGATCTTCTGCATCGCGTGGGGCTGTGGCACCAGAGTCCAGCGCGAACACACCAGAGGCTACATAATCAGGGCCCGGATCAGCTACGCAAAGTGGATCCAGAGAATCTGCATCATCTGGATCTTCTGTGGTGCGGTCATCTGCTCAGCTACAGCCGGTGCCAGCCTCGCGTGTCACAACTCGTCTTTAAAAAGGTATAAAAAAAATCCAAAAATTAGAACAGATGGTACTATACGCTATGGCATGTTATGTGTTGCAGGAGAGCCAACTAGATTGGAAGATGCACTTGGAGATTCAAGGTGGAAAAATGCAATGGATGAAGAGTACTCTGCACTCATGAAAAATAAAACATGGCACCTTGTACCTGAGCAGTGAGGTAAAAATGTTATTGACTGTAAGTGGGTATATAGAATCAAGAAAAAGGCAGATGGTTCGATTGACAGGTACAAGGCACGTCTAGTCGCAAAAGGTTTTAAACAGCGTTATGGGCTGGATTATGAGGACACATTTAGTCCCGTTGTTAAAGCTGCAACCATTAGGCTTGTGTTAGCTATTGCTGTTTCCAGGGGATGGAGCTTGAGACAGCTAGATGTGCAGAACGCGTTTTTGCATGGTGTTCTGGAAGAGGAGGTTTACATGCGACAACCACCTGGGTATGAAAACAAGAAAACACCCCACTATGTGTGTAAGCTTGATAAGGCTCTTTATGGCCTAAAATAGGCACCAAGAGCGTGGTATTCAAGGCTAAGCTCTCAGCTAAGGTGCCTTGGTTTTGTTGCATCTAAAGCTGACACATCACTCTTCATCTACAATAAGGCAACCACAGTCATATTTGTTTTGATATATGTTGATGATATTATAGTTGCCAGTTCTTCATCAAGTGTTACTAATGCTCTACTTCATGATTTAAGTTCAGAGTTTGCCTTGAAAGATCTTGGTGATCTACAATTCTTCCTGGGCACTGAGGTGAAGAAGATTAAAGATGGCATAGTAATGAATCAGGAAAAATATGCTACTGAGCTTCTGACCTGCATGAGGATGAAGGATTGTAAGCCTTCACCTACACCATTGTCCTCTTCAGAAAAATTGTCAGCCTTTGAAGGGGAGCCTCTAAAGGAAGAAGAGATCACAAGGTACAGGAGTGCTGTGGGTGCCTTACAGTACTTAACACTGACAAGACCAGATATATCATTTGCTGTTAACAAGATTTGTCAGTATCTACATGCACCTACTACTGTACACTGGATAGCTATTAAAAGAATTGTACGGTATATAAAATACACTGTAAGCCTAGGACTCTAGTTTAAACGATCCAGCTCCACTCATGTTAGTGCCTTTTCTGATGCCGACTGGGCAGGATGCAGTGATGACAAGAGGTCAACTAGAGGATTTGCAATATTCTTTGGTCTTAACCTTGTTTCTCGGAGTGCCAGGAAACAGGCTACATTGTCAAGATCAAGTACAGAGGCTGAATATAAGTCACTAGCCAATGCAACTGCTGAGATCATTTGGGTGGAATCATTACTTAATGAGTTGAGTGTTAAGCAACGCCGCATTTCATGTTTATGGTGTGATAATTTGGGAGCCACCTATCTCTCTGCTAACCCAGTGTTCCATGGAAGAACTAAACACATTGAAGTTGATTTTCATTTTGTGAGAGAAAGGGTTGCAGAAAAGAAATTGGACATCAGATTTATTCCCTTCAAAGATCAGGTAGCAGATGGCTTCACCAAGGCATTGTCAATTAAACCATTTGAGAAGTTCAAGAGGAATCTTAATATAGGATAGTTGAGATTAAGGGAGGGTGTTAAAAATAGAGATAGAACTACCTATTGTAATCTCAACAAACTCTATCCTCTCTCTCTCGTAGCTTATCTCCTCTTCTTTGTAACAACCGAATCTAGATCGATCGGTATTGCCTTGTAAGCCACGACAGGGGCTGTTCTGTCTCATATCAATATAAACCAACGCGACTCCTCATCGAGGAGTAGGAACGCTTCCATCTAACAGTCTTAAAGCATCCATAATGTCAGACATTGTGGTGATAGAAGAAAAACCACCATAAAATCAAAATGCATCTAAGTGCGGAAGTGCCCTAGTTTGCAATGCATACGTTAATTGCATGTGCTAACTAAACAACCCAAGCACTTCCCGTGGGGAGAAAAAGGGCCAGGCGCTCGATGCATGATTTCATGTTGACGCCTTATCTGACACCATCATGCAACAAAAGAATTGTTAATCGGTTGGGAATTCGACACTATTATCCGTGCTAAGCATATGTGTTGCATGTTGTGCCCTTAAGGAACACCATCACGATTCAGGAACTGCAAAGTGGTCGTCGTTGAGTCTGCCAAACGAAGGGAGGTTGCTAAGGAGATGCGTGCGATTGAGCGTAGCATGTCAGGTGTGTGCTAAATTGTACACGTATCCGGATTTTCTTCTTCTTATTCCTGCTTATCCAGCTGCTTTACCAAGTTACTTGGTTGCAACTCATGTCCCATGCTTGGATGACGAGGTTAGACAGTCGGCCTTCACTATCGGCGGCCCGTCACCCCACTGGACAATGTTCTCGAGAAACTCTTTGCCAATTTTATAGTGATAGATCGTATCATCGGGACAAAAGCGAACACGTTTGGCATTTCAAGGTGCTGGCATTGTATGCAAAGGTGCACATGGGAGTGCTAATGGGGTTTTCTCTTTAAACAAGAAGGTAGCCCCATGAGCTTCCTTGACATCTTCGTCAAGTTCAACCGGACTCATAGTCAGGTGGTACAGGTGAGATGATCGGTTGCACGTGAGGGGAATCAAATTGTTCTAGTGATGTTTAGGATGCATTACACGCACACGAACCTCTATGACATCATGCGAGAATCAACATAGTTGGGAGTTAGATCCGCCCATGGAGATTCTTCAAAGAAGTTTGTGTGTGTGCTTTTCAGAGTAGAGTTGTATTGCAAGTATGAGGGGATGATAGAGTAAGTCATATTGGCTTCAATGCCAATGTTTTTTAAACTTTGTGGTTGCTTTGTCGCTGAGTGTAGTCAATTGCGAGTTGCCTTTAGTTTTGTCTAGTGATTGTTGGTCTCACAGTAGCATCCATGTTCCCTTTGTAGCTCATTCGGGACACTATTCTACTCGTTATGTCTGTTTATTGACGCTGACTCAGCACGCCTCCGCTTCACACCTAGCAAACTATCTGAAACGTCGTCTGGCGTTTACCCATGCCTGTCAATTTGATATGTCAATGGCGTTTGGATGTAAATGAAGAAGAGGATGACGAATTATCTCTTCATGATGAGTACATGCGCGTGGAACCGCATGCAGTGTTGCACCCTCTCGGCGTAGACTCACTAGGAACAGCGGCTCAAACGTTATTCGCCCTCAAGCCCGAGGGCGACTTTAAGTTTGTGAGAGCAACAAACTCGGTGTCGACAAGTCTGTTAAACTTGATATATCTATCAAACTCGATCGAGTGTACTAGACGCACCTTCTTCGAAAATCGGGTAGGGCTATTGACATTTCCCATACAAACATATTTCAATCCAATTCCATTTTTTGGATAGTGATAATACTAATAAACAGTTCAACTTCCTTCTCGGTTGCATTTGGTTTTTGCACGAAGGGCACAAGGGGTCATTGTATTTTCCATATAGCTTACTCGATTGAGCACATTGTAAAGGGTAAAATGCCGCTTGTGTTGGAACCAGAATGACCAAAACCGACGAGTGCAACAAGTCCCTTGTCATGAATCCCACCTCCTAGAGACCAGGTTACACCGTTAGTAGATGCGGCATTCTCGGGAAGTGATGGTATGACGGTGACCGGTATGATACTACGACACCATGATGGGACGATCATCTTGGTTCCTTATAGATTCTTGTTCTACTGCAATGACGCACTGGAAGCCGAGATACATGCTATGTCAGTTGTTGTGCATGGCCTTGACCACGCGACACACTGTGTTTCCAGTTGTCGTGCAATCAGATTCATCCATGGCCCTATCGATCTTCATAGATGCATCATTTTTTTTTGGATCAAGTACATGAGAGAAAACTAGGTATTTATTCCACAAAAGTTTTATCGTAGTCATAATAGAGTAGCAGATTGTTTAGCGAGATACAATCATACCGAGCATAGCACAACTGTGTGGCCAAGAAACACATGTCATCTTGTTTACATAAATGCTGTTGTATGGGAACCACAAAGAAAACAATGATATCCTGTGCTAAAAGCAGCACGTCCACATGATCTATTGTGTACCATTTCCCTTCACCATGTCCCACTCTCACATGTCCGGGTTCCATCACTTTGCCATAGGGGAACAAGCATCGAGACATGATCTAACGTGTACAGTTTTCAGAAGGTTTTGGCATCGGACACGCGTATCCGCATCTTTCGCTTGGTAGGTGCACATCAACATCGGAGAAAGCAATTTTCTTAAGAAAACCGTAGCTGAAGAGAAAAGGGTTTGAATTTCTGACGGGTGCTTCTCCCTGGAACGAAAAGGCCAGCAATAAAAGACCGGAGGGACAGGTGGCGGCCACCCCTGAACCCGAAAAGGCTCCACGCCTTTGCAAAAAAAAAAAAACCGTGCGTTGCACTCAAAAGTGGTGGGGCCCCTGGCCGACCTGACGGCGTGTCGTTGTGTTGGGTCGACTCGAATATCCCACCACGCCACGCCATCGGATCCCCAGCTTCCCTCTCCGCCTCACCGATCTCGCCTCGCCTCGCCAAGCCCAACAACTGGCTCACGCCGCATCGCATCGCGATCCAGCGCCGTCTCGAGCCTTCCATCCAGAGCCCTCCCAAACTCCTCTGCCGACCCCCCGCCCGCCGCCGCCGCGCCGGAGATGGGGTACATCGGCGCGCACGGCGTGGAGACGCTGAAGCGCTACAGGTACAGCGGCCAGGACCACTCGGTGGTGGCCAAGTACGTTCTGCAGCCCTTCTGGAGCCGCTGCGTCACCCTCTTCCCGCTCTGGATGCCGTGAGTGCCCCCTTCTCCCTTCCGCCTCCTCCCCTACTCTACTTACTGGTTAGAGTAGATGGCTGTGGTTTAGTCGGTGGTTGGAGAGTAGATGCGCCCAAGAGGGTCGAATTGTGGGTTGGGGAACGGGGGTGACCGCATCGTAGGCCTGCTTTGAAATAACGTTTGAAGAGAGGCAGGAACTTGACTCAATGAGAGGCAGATTAATATCACTGAAGCCTTGTGGCGTCTTAAACTCCCTAACTGTTTGGATTGGCAATTTGTTTGTCTATTACTGTGACTCGTCAGGCTGTCAGTAGGCAGTGATTTGCATGCCAGTTGCTCTAAACACAGTAACTCAACGAGATGCAGGGTAATATGACTGAAGCCTTCACAAACTCCTTAAAACTGCAAGGATTGACAATTTGTTTGTATATTACTGCAAGGATTGACAATTTGTTTGTATATTACTGCTTTAACTTGTTATAGGTGTCATCAGTGGTTTGCCATGTCAGTTATTCTGAACAAAGTGTGGTTACATGCCTGCCTACTGTAGACTGTGACATCTCTTTACCTCATTACCTGTAAATTATACTATGGTTTTTTTTATTAACTTAGATGACCAATGGGCAAGTGATTGGGCTTGAACCACGGGCGACAGAACAATCAAACTTGATATTCCTGTTTTCATCTTACAGATTAATAACTAGCAGGATCGATCTTACACTTAATATTTTCTCCCGAACACGCATCAAAACACTCCTCTTTCGTATTAGAAGGCGAACACCCAAATGGCGCAAAAGCTACACAACCACCATGAGAAAAAGGCAAAAAATCTTGAAAAAACAAAGAACGAAAAAGGCACAAAACTACGGAGGTAAGTGTGACTAGAGATGTGGCCACAAGGGCGAGGGGCATGCAGGACAATGCTTGGAGCTCCTTGGAGCCTGCCAACCTCCACTGATCTGCCTCACTGAAGATCTGTTGTCTAGGTCCTGGCTGTAAGGGTACTCGTTAACACACATACTTCTCTGCTGCCACAGTCTCTACATTGTTAGGATAGTCAGAGAACTGAGATCTTGCGCTTTCTTGGTGCTACATATCAACATTCTATAATTGAAGGAAATAGATTTGTAGTCTTGTGCAAACAGATTTTTTTTTTTCAATTTTTGTTCTTTTCATCAGAGCTCTTGAGCTAATTTATAATTTTCCACATTTGCATGTATCGACCAACGTATAGACCAAACATGGTAAGAGATTGATCAGTAAATTGTCAATTCTTCCTTGGGTTCATTTCATTTGGAGCAGTCTGTGGTGATCCTTTCCAAATTTTCAGATCACACTCATGGGGTTTATGTTTCTACTTACATCTTCGCTGCTTAGCTATGTGAGTGTCTTTCTTAATTTATTTTCTTCTTATTTCGGAGAGCTGCTAAAATAGTGACCTAAAACGTCTTACATTTGTTTACGGAGGTAGTATGTTGCTGTTATTGTCACCTTATGATGCATTCCACGTTTTATGTTATGTCTTGTTTTCCACTTATGACTCTAATTTCACAGATTTATTCACCCCACCTTGACACAGCTCCCCCTCGGTGGGTCCATCTTGCCCATGGAATACTTCTCTTCTTGTACCAGGTGTGTGAAACTGAGAATGAGATTGCAAATAGATAACTCTTCCTTGTTCTGATCTTTATGGCTTCTCCTGTATGGTTACTAAAGAGCATTATTTTGCTTAAGCAAGAGTGTTCCATGTGATAATTTCTGTAATTCTTGTTTTCTTGCCTATCTGCTGGTTTAATTTCTTACTATGACATGACCTGTACAATCTATGGTAAACAAGGAATTTGCTTTGTTGTTCATATTACAATTATGTATTCCTGGCTGATTTTCAAGAAAGGACCCATAGCCACCTAATGATATAAGTATAATTTCACTAAGTGGTTGAATCTAGAGCTATATAGGCCAACTACTGAAGAACAGTTATCTTAAATCCTTTATTTCAGGTAGCAGAATGAGTAAGACCCACTCTTAGTGGGCAGTTCTGAACTTGATTAGAATGAAGCCTGACATTTACCCCTAGAAGAATTATTTTGTTGTAAAGATTGAACAAATATTAGTTGGTGAGAGTTTGAAGTATGTTGTTTCTAAACTTGTTTATCTGACTGATGTAACTATTAAAAACACATGTATATTGTCATTATCACCTTGTAAATCAACATGCACAAAGCAAACGGGAAATTATCATGTCATCTAGTTCACTGGTTTGAATTAATCAACTATATTGTATTGTGCATGCTAGACTTTTGATGCCGTTGATGGTAAACAAGCAAGGCGCACCAGCTCATCAAGTCCTCTAGGAGAACTTTTTGATCATGGTATTTTTTTCCTGCTCTTTCTCTCTCTCTCTCTCTCTCACTCACTCTCTCTCTCTCTCAACATCTCAATCTTACACTATTCAAAATTTTCATTTGGCAGGATGTGACGCCCTTGCCTGCGCTGTAAGGATTTTTTTTTATTCGAGGCCTTCACCTTGTCCTCGTCTTTCACCAAAGATATATTTGTCTTATTTATCTTGACTGGGCTCGTCCTTATACTGTTGTTAGTTTGAAGCCTTGGCCCTTGGAAGCACCTTGATGTGTGGAAGGTTGACATTCTGTTATTGGGTGGTTGCTGCTGTCCCATTTTATCTGGCAACATGGGAACAGTAAGGCTTTTAGAACTCAATTTCTCTGAGCATATTCCAGATATCTGCAAAGCAAGATGCTCTTTTTTTGTCCGAAATGTTAAAAAATATGTCATTTCAATTGTAATCTTGCACTCTTCTTTCTGTAATAATGAGTTTAGACCCCTGCATGCTGCAGCTTTTGGTGCGGCATGAAGATTGATTTAGTGGGATGATACTACTGATTTTTTTTTCTGTGTGAACTTATGTGTATGCCAACCGAATGTATGAGTTACATGTGGGTAAACCTCATCTAGTCATTTCAGAAAGGTTTTTTTTAACCATAAAAGCATAGTTATCTAGCCCAGAGTTTGAGCAACTAGCTCATAATGTTTCTGATATTAGACTCTGCTTTCTCCTTGTGTTGACCTTACACCAGTGTAACTGGCACCTCATAGGTAATTTTTGTCATAGTTGAGTAACAGATTGGCACATTACATGCATCCATTTGCTTATCACTTCCTTTATCATAGTATTTCTTCTATTTCTGTAGAATCTTCTACTGACCACTAATTTCACATAAGAAACTTAGGGGTCAGCTCATCATTTGCTTCCAGAACTCTCATACTGCTGTCTTTATGTTTGTTTTTTCACATTTGGTAATGCATTAATTTCTTGGAAGCTCTTATTGACGGTTGTATTTCTCATGCTGCCAGCTACTTCACAAATACTCTTATTCTTCCTGTAATAAATGGACCAACGGAAGGCCTGATGCTGATCTATGTCTCCCACCTTTTTACCTTTTTTACTGGTAATTTACCTAAGCAAGACTTGATATTCAAATAGCTTTTTGTTTCTTTAGTAGTTTTTTTTACATTCTTCTAAGATAAGCAATTCTACTCCCCAATTTAGGTGCTGAATGGTGGGCGCAAGATTTTCGAAAATCCCTCCCTCTTATTAGTTTGGTTCCACTTCCATTTGTTCCAGGTATGTTACTTTAGGAACTGCAAATGCCTTTTTTGTTCATTTTGTGTATTATCCTCTATTTCGATAATGACTGCTAGCAGAAACAAGTACTCCACATGACCATTAATAGAAACTGTTTCTGATTTGTTGCTTTAACTTGTATCAGAAATCCCCTTATATGTTATCGTGCTGATTCTGATGATCATGTTTGCTGTAATCCCAACAGTTGGATCCAAGTGAGTTTAAATTCCTTTGTATTTTATTTTTCGAGTAACTTTTTTCATGGCTCCATGACATGAAGTTACATATGACTGATTCCTATGCCTGTCATGCAATTCTTCTCTGTGTTTAATACCCAAAACGGAATCCCCGCCGGTAGCCCTCCCACCTCCCTCCTCCCCCCGGCAATGGCGACCTCCAGTGCTGACCCTGTCGACCGCCGGGCGACCCCCTTCGACGACCGCGTGTCCCTTGGCGGCCGCTGGTCCGACTCGGAGGGCGAGTCCTCGACGCGCTCGTACAGCGATGTCACACGCTCTCCGCCGTCCGTTCCCACGCCGCTTGCGCTCCCAGCCCCCGCTCGTGCCACTGCCACCGCTAGGCAGCCTGTCGCGAGCCGCCTCGGCCCCCGCTCCGAGGTTCACCGCGCCCCTGGCGGCGTCCAGGTAGACGCGGACGGCTACCAGCTTCCGCGGCGTTGGAATCGCCGCCGCCGCCCTCGCCAGGAGGCCGCGCCTTCCCCTCCTTAGCCCCGACGACGCAGCCCCTCGCCGAAGGAGGTCGCCGGCCTCTGTTTCCGCTGCTTGGACCACCGTCACCGTGTGCGGGACTGCACCAACGACGTCCGCTGCCGCCGCTGCCTCGAGTCCGGCCACGAGTCGCGCGCCTGCGACGCCCAGTGCCGAGGCGACGCCTGGGCCGCTTCCGGCCGCTCGGGCCCTGCTGCTCGTGGGGCTGCGCCTCGGGCCACAACGCCATCGCCGCCGCCACCACCTGCTGCTCCGGTGGTCCGCGCTCCCATGGCTCCCGCCCCCGAACCGGTGCGGGTCATCATGTCGCACTCGGTCGAGATGGAGGAGGCCGAGGTGGTTCTGTCCCGCGCGATGGTGGCCTCCATCACTGGCAACAGGCTACTCGTGTCCGCTGCCGAGGTCGCCGACGTGCTCATCTCTGCCCTCGAGCTCCTCGACGGTGACTTCACGGTTCACGCCCATCACCCCGAAGATTTTCTGATCCTCTTCAACTCGCGCTCGACCATGGATCGCCTCAATGGTGATCACTTCATCCGCTCCCCGCGGTTCTCCCTCTCCGTGCGACCTTGGAGCAAGCTGGCTCATGCAGGCTCCGGCCAGTTCAAGTATCGCGTCGAGCTTGAGCTCCGGGGCATCCTTGCTCAGGCATGGCACCTCTCGACGGCCGAGCATATTCTTGGGGAGAGCTGCTGGATCGAGAGACTCCACCCCGGCACGCGTTCCAGGGCTGACATGGCCGTCTTTCGGTTGGCGGGGCGCACGCATGATCCTGAAAATCATGGAACAGATCCCCGCGCGCGTGGGCTCGGAGGCGCCTACCATCCGGACCCTCACCTACCCGATTTTCATCGCGCTGGCCCGTGCGGAGAGGAACGGCGCCCCAGCTCCTCGGGCTGGCGCTGGCGACGGACCGGCAGGCGGTGGCGCCGGTGATGGCGATGACCCAACTCGTGGCAGGGGCCCAGGCCGTGCGCGTCGCCGCGGCCGCAAACGTCGACGCACGGAGGAGCCGCCGGCCGGCCGGGCTGATGGCATGGCCGTCGACTCCCTGGGGTGGTGGGCCGGGAACCGCGCTGCGCGCACCGATGGCCTGTTCGTCGTGTCCGCATGGCCCGCGCCGCCCTCCGCGGCTGCGCCGCCGTTCGTACGCCGTCGCGGCTGCGCCATGGGGCCCTGGCCTGGTCTGCGTGGTCAGCTGGAGCAGCAGCACGATCAGCATGGCCCCACCAACATGCGTGGCCGCGCCAGAAAAGGGAGGCGCAAAAGAAAGCCAAAGCAAGCTTTGGCGGTAGCACAGACGGGCAGAGCCTCTGTCGCTACAGGAGATGACGGAGATGCGCGAAGGACGCCTGTCGGTGGCCCCTCGGCTGCTCCAATCCCCAGCGTGGAGCCAGGCCACGGGCCAAGTGGCACGCCCCCATTAGTGGTGAACACTCCGGAAGGATCCCGGGATTTGAATCTCGCACCATCGGATGCCCCCGAGGCAGATAGCGTGGGCCCTGTGTCTGTTGCTTCGGATCCGAGGAATTGTCGGGAACTGCCCGATATGCGCGTGGGACCAGCCTCACAGCCTGTGCCGGCCGGCTTGTCGGGGCAAAGTGGCGTCTCGCCTGCCCTCCCACCTGATGATGGCCTTGTCCCCGCTGACCGGTCCTCCGGGCCCCATGCGCGCGCCGTGGTTGGAGGAGAGGAGCGCCCCACCTCGTGCCCAGCCCCCCAGGCTAGGGCCTCTCTACCGCCCCAGGCCCAGCCCATCGAGGACCCTGGGCTCTCGCCCCAGGTGACTATTCTGCAGAGGCCACAAACCCCAATCACCGCAACGGGACCCAACATGGAGGCCTGCACGCCTGCGCGTGCCCAACAGGGGACGAATCTGCCTGCTGCCGAGCGCTTCGCATCCCCGCCGATCACCATGCGCCGATCCCGTGCTCGTCCTGCTGCGCCAAGTTCCCTAACGCTGGGGGAATTTGTGGCCGCCGCCACCAAGCACATTGCTGCGGCCCTGCCGACGCCTGGGAGGAGGCCGCGCAGGCCCCTGAACTTCTCCCCCCGTCGCGGCCGCTCGGCTGCCTCTGCCCACCCGGCAGCGCCGCCACCCACAGCCGAGAGACGTGCGCAGGTCCAAATCCTGCGCACCCTGGGGATCATTGGGACGAATCAGAAGATCACCCCCGCCGAGATGAAGGCCTACGACGGCATGTTTGCGATGCCCATCCCGCTTGAGGTGCTCAAGGCCATGGCCGCGCTGGTCGATCGCGAGATCCCAGCATGTCTATCCAGCCTGCCGATCGCGCCAGCACGTGTCGAGGTCACCTGCACAACCTAGGCAGCACCTGCCCGCTCCCCGTCGATCCACTGTCCATGGATCACGGCCTTAAGATTGCTGTATGGAATGTGCGCGGTCTGAATTCGCGGAGCCGGCGCACAGCCATTCGCTCACTGTTGGACACCACCGCTGCCTCCATTGTATGCTTGCAGGAAACTAAGATGGAGTTACTTTGTTCGTCTGTTGTTCTTGACACCCTCGGTTCAGAGTTCGATGACTACACATACCTCCCAGCTCTTGGCACACGGGGCGGCATCTTACTGGCTTGGAAGAGCAGGGCCGTGACCATCACGGACCCGTTGTTCACCACGAATGCCCTCTTGGCTAGAGTGGCCACGGCCTCGGGCACCCCTTGGTGGCTCTCTGTCGTGTATGGACCTCAAGACGACGCGGACAAAATTGCGTTCTTGCTTGAGCTGCGGGAGATTCGTGTGGCCTGTCCCGGGCCATGGATGCTTTGCGGAGACTTCAACCTCATCCTGCGCGACGAGGACAAGAACAACGGCAACTTAAATCGTCGTATGATGGGCAGATTCCGCCGTCTCGTCAATGACCTTGCGCTTAAGGAGGTCTACCTCAACGGGCGTCGCTTCACGTGGTCGAACGAGCAGTCCCCTCCCACTCTTGTGCACCTGGACCGTGTGCTCTGCACCTCGGACTGGGAGGATGCACATGGCGAATGTCACCTTCGCTGCCTTGCGACGGTCATCTCGGACCACTCCCCCTGCTGCTGGACTGCTCCCCCATGCCCACGGCGCATAGACGATTTCATTTTGAGGACTTTTGGTTGAGGCTTGATGGGTTCCACGACACGGTGGCTGCGGCTTGGGGCTCGGTCCATGACCCGGACCCCTTCCATCGATTGATGTTGCGCTTCCAGGCCATGGCGCGCAGGCTTACCAGCTGGAGTGCCAAGACGACAGGCAGTATCCGCGACAAGTTGGCCATCTCTCGGGAGCTCATATCGCGCTTTGACAAGGCCCAGGAGGATCGAGCTCTCACTCAGGAGGAGGATTGGCTGCGAAAGCGCCTCAAGGTCTCGTACCTTGGCCTCGCTTCGTTGGAACGCACCATCGCCAGACAGCGCGCCCGCATCGCCACGCTCAAGGAAGGCGACGCTAGCACGGGATTCTTCCACCGGCAATGCTCCTTTCGTCGTCAGAAGAACCGGATCTTTAGCTTGGCCGTGGATGGGCACACGGTCACCGACCAGGACGCGATGGCGCAGGCTGCTTTTGAGCACTTTGACGAGATCCTGGGCACGGCCGTCGACCGCGACCTTACGCTCAACTTGGAGGGGCTCATTGAGCCTTGCGATCTGGCGAGCCTGGACGCTCCCTTCAGCGTGGAGGAGGTATGGGACGCGATCAAGCGCCTCCCCGCTCGCAAGGCACCGGGGCCTGACGGCTTCACCGCGGAGTTTCTGCGAGCTTGCTGGACCATCGTTCGACAGGACCTTATGGATGTCTTCCAGCAGCTGTTCGAGATGCGGGGCCGTGGCTTTGGCGAGCTCAACCAAACCCTCATGACCCTACTGCCCAAGCGCGCCGACGCCCAGCAGCTTCGTGACTATCGCCCGATCTGCTTGATTTATATCGTGGCCAAGATATTCACCAAGGTCCTGTCTCTGCGGCTTGCCCCCAGATTGGATAGCTTGGTCAGTCACAACCAGAACGCGTTCATCACCGGCCGGAGCCTCCATGATAACTTCATCCTCGTGAGGCAATCTCTCAAAATGCTGCACCAACTCGGGGCTCCGCGGATCATGCTCAAGCTCGACCTCACGCGCGCCTTTGACTCCATATCTTGGACATTCCTCTTTGAGGTTTTGCGCCAATATGGGTTCGGGGACAGATTTCGGGAATGGCTTGCGATCCTGTTATTGACGTCCAGCACCCGTGTCATGATGAACGGCGAGCCGGGCCCCCCGATCTGGCACCGCTCGGGCCTGCGACAGGGCGACTCCATGTCCCCCCAGCTGTTTGTTCTCGCTGTGGACACGCTTGGGCGGCTGATGCGCCGTGCGCTCAATGCCGGCATACTGCAGTAGTTGCATCCCCGACGCCCGATCCCGGCGATCTCCCTCTATGCTGACGATGTGATGCTATTCTGTCATGCCACGCCGGAGGACGTTGCTGCCATCAAGGGTATCTTGACCCTGTTCGGCAAAGCGAGCGGGCTGCAGGTTAACTATGCGAAGAGATCTGCCACCGTTGCACGGTGACATGCAGGAACATGAGGTGATCGCCCAATTGGGTTGCCCGGTGGTGCAGCTTCCCATCACTTACCTGGGCATCCCGTTGTCGATGCGACGGCCTTCCGCCGCCCAGTTGCAGCCCCTCGTCGATACGGTGGCTGCCCGGCTTCCTACCTGGAAGGCGTGGCCCATGAACAAAGCCGGGTGTCTTGCCCTTGTCAAATCAGTCCTCAACGCAATACCAGTGCACCAGCTGCTCGCGTTCGCTCCCCCAAAGAAGACGCTCAAACAATTGGCGAAGATCCAACGAGGCTTCTTGTGGGCTGGGCGGGCCGTGGCCAACGGTGGCCATTGCCATGTCAACTGGAGCCGTGTGTGCCGACCTGTCGCGTATGGTGGGCTGGGAGTCCGAGACCTGGAGCGCGCTGGTCTCGCGCTACGGTTGCGATGGCTGTGGTTCGCCCGCGTCGATCCGGACCATGCTTGGCAAGGTCTCGATCTGCAGTTCTCACACGAGGAGCGCGCGCTCTTCTTCGCCTCCACTACCATGATCATTGGAAATGGCTCGACGGCGCTTTTTTGGGAAGATCGCTGGATTGGCGGGCAGTCTGTAGGTGAGATAGCTCCCCTACTCTACCAATGCATTCCCAAACGTCGACGCAAGGCCAGGACGGTGGCAGAAGGGCTGGCAGGTAACTCTTGGGCACATGATATACAAGGGGTCCTGGGTCTGCACGAGATCGGACAATACCTGCTGCTATGGCAGGCTGTGTGCCACACCATCGTGACGAACGAGCCGGATCGCCTGCTCTGGAGGTGGACCACCAATGGCATCTACTCGGCGCGCTCGTGTTATGCGGCCAGTTTTCAGGGATCCACACGGAGCCATTCTTGGAAGCTGGTATGGAAGAGCTGGGCGCCTCCACGGGTAAAATTTTTCCATTGGCTCGCCGCCCAGGATCGCTGCTGGACCGCTGAAAGGCTTGCGCGACGTGGCTTGCAGCATCACCCTCGATGCCTCCTCTGCGACCAGGCCTTGGAAACTATCCAGCACCTGCTGCTGACATGCCCCTTTGCACGTCAGACCTGGCACCTTGTCCTTGATTGGTTGCATATTCCGGTCCAAATCCCCGATCAGGAGCACACGGTCACGGAGTGGTGGCTGAGCGCGAAAGAGCTCGCGCCGCCGGCGCATCGGAAGGCCCTCAAATCCATCGCGCTGCTTGTGCCCTGGATGCTATGGAAGCACAGGAACGCGTGTGTCTTCGACAACGCCACGCCATCCATCGAATCCCTAGTGGATAGGATCAAGGACGAGGCCCGGTGTTGGGCTAAAGCAGGAGCCCAGGGACTTCGGGTTGTTCTGCCCACAACCTGGGATGTCCACTGATTTTGTGCTTTTCTTTGTACTGCTCACCTCCTAGGAGGATTGTTCTACCTTTTCCATGAAATGAAATGCAAAGGTCCTTTGCGTTTTCTCGAAAAAAAATACCCAAAACTTCTATGAAATTGCTTGCAAATATTTGAATCTTCATGTTTCACGAACCAGTTCCCTTGCAAGTGATTTGTTTGTGGCATTTACCGCATGTCCACTAAACACTTTCCAATGCAATAAGCCAATAATCATGTGCTGCATGTCTTACTGATATTTCTTGCTTACACATCACTGATTCTCCTGTCATGCAGTATTGGTAATGTCCAAAAAGTAGTTGATGCACGGAAAGGGAGCATGGAATTAGCATTAGCAATGGTAAGTTTTTGGAATTTCCTGTATGTACAATACTTAAAAGCTTGTAATCTTTTAGGTTGTATATTCCTGGACTAGAGTGCTTTTGAAAACTCTAGTCCATCCATCCATTTGAACTTCAGGAAGCAAGCAATGATTTGAATATTTGATATGTATAGTTTTGAGTTTGCGTATATGTGCATATGAATACTCTTTGTTATCATCAAGCTTGTATTTTTACCAGAAACTGTAGGAGAGGCCCTGACGATGAAATTTTATAGATAAAATATACACAAAAGCTTGTATGTCTTTGGACAACAAAATTACAAATGCATAGTGTTGTATAAACACCTAGTTCGCCCCAAAGCTTATAACTAGAGCATCTAAAATGGCAAAGTCTGGTCTTAGTTGTTGGGTTTAATTTTGTAGCTATTATTTTATCTTGGACAGGTGCAGCTCTTACAAATATTCTGCATTCGAACAGTTCAAGTTCCATGTGATTATTTATTTATTTAAATATTCAATTCAACCTGGAAGGCTGAAACCCTGTTTATCTTCTTACATTCCATGCACATTCTAATGCTTGTATTTTACATTTGGGCTGCAGCTCCTTCCATTTATTGCGCTGTTAGCTGGAGTTGCTGTCTGGTATGGGATCAGAAAGTCTATTCATTGTTTATCGTACAAAATATAACTCGCTGAATGTAATACTAGTTTTATTTATCTTGCTGTGTAGGTGTTATCTCTCTCCTTCAGATATCATGAAGAACCAGCCACATCTGCTTGTGATTGGAACTGGTTCTGCTTTTGGATATTTGGTTGTAAGTTCCTTTTTTGTTGTTGGGTTCCTTGACCCTGACTTGCTGAGTAGTTTGTAATATTGAATAATGTGCTTTCATATTTACGATATTGGTTCCTGGCTTCCTGCTAAATCGCACGGTGTCTGTCTACTTTTCCTTCTAAAACACAGTATGTTGCATGTATAATTATGCATTGCGAAAAGAAGGAAAAAATGTTAGGGTTCACAAGCTTCATATTATTTGCATGTTGGATGTCTTTTTTACTTCTAGATGTTGATCCAGTGCACCACAGACCGACTGCCTTCCAAAGAGCAGGCGATACCTTTTTTTTCACTTGCCATGGATTTAACTCTGAACTGACCAAGCATCAAACATCCAGACGAAATGATTGTCCTAGTGCTGTTATCTTGGTAGTTCCGGTTATTCTGAAGCTTATTGCTTTCGGTATAATTCTGATTTCAACATAATTTTTTTCTAAATTATTGATTCGTGTAGATATGATCTAGTATCACTTAATCTAAAACTTATTGCTTTCAAGACTCCCATTCTGTGATTTGAGATTATTGACTCAGAAATTATTGACTCAGAAATGTTGACAGACGGTGTGTAAGTCGAGTTATCTCTGGGAAACTGGATAGTTCCGTTATCCACCTGGACATATGGAATTCATGGCAAAAGCACATAATGACTTGGATATGACACATGGGCAAGCAAATCACCTTACAACTAACATAGACTCGCAGATTGAACTCATGTTCTGTGCTGCATGCAGTGGCGCTCCATTTTCTGAATAAGCATCTAATGGCACTCAGTTCCTCCATGTTATTTGTGCTATTGCATCTAATGGGTTTCATCGATTGACTTGAAAGTGGCATGCATAGCACATAAACTAAACTATGATCATTCTTAATTTTTTCTGGAATTGCTACTATTTTTCCATAATATAAATGAACTTGCCATGCGTGGACAGGGAAGGATGATACTTGCTCATTTGTGTGACGAGCCCAAAGGTCTAAAAACAGGAATGTGCATGGTATGTCTATGTTGTGTAGTGCATGTTTTCGCTCTGCTACATACAAAGTGTAAGAATAATTCAAAATAATGACTAAATATCTCTTATTTCAGGCTCTGGTGTTTCTTCCTTTTGCTATCGCAAATGCTCTCACCGCAAAGATTAACGACGGGTAAGTTTCTTTATGCTTGCCGCGCCTAGTATTGCTAAATTGGAACTGTACCTTTGTGCAGTTAAGCTAAACGATGCATCATTTTTATTGACAGGACTCCTTTGGTTGATGAGCTTTTGGTTATTCTTCTGTATTGTGCAACCTCAGGTGAAGTACCGCACTCCAACATTTAGTTTGAGATGTCCGTCTCAGCTGAATAGCTTTGCATCTTTCTTGCAACCTAAGTGACATATATAAATGTCCAACCATCTCATGTCTTGTTTATTTGTAACAGTGGGTCTTTACATGCATCTCGCCATTTCGGTTTGTCATGAAATCAAGGATGCTCTTGGAATCTATTGCTTCAGGTCTGGAAATCTCACATGTTCTTTTTTAACACAATGAAATCTCCTGTGTCATCTTACCATTCTGAAAAGACCATATCTAACACCACCTTTTACTGTTTCACAGGATAGCCAGAAAAGAGGCTTGAATTTGCCTGAATCCTTCCATAGGAAGCATTCTGCCTTCCAGACATTGTCTGTCTGCATTCAGAAGTCTAACGTTACAACAACGCATAGCCATGGATGCTCAACGAATCATGTCTTTGTAACTCCATGGCCACCGATTATTCATCATGTTAAATGCAGATTTGTGTCAAGTAGCCTATGTACATGTGGTGCGGTCGGTGTATACATCATGGGTAGGGAAGCGGTAGCTTTTCTTTACTTAAACTAGATGGTGGGATGACCGTTGTTTGTAAGATTGTGTTCCAAGAGAATTCTTTTGTGGGGTGCAAAGCCTAGTCTCGCCAAAGTTTTTCCCTTTTCTTTTGAGAGGAGTTAATTACCGTATAGCGAATGTAATTTTGGGTGGTGCGAGCCGTCTTGTGAAACTAATTTACATGGCTTGTAGGTTTCCTTTTAGAACAAGTTTAGTAATGCCATATGCGTGCTAAAAAGTCCCTTCGTTTTAGAATACAAGGTGTATGGATATCGTACATCTAGTGACTACTAGCTGAATGCCCGCTTTTAGAATACAAGGTGTATGGAATAGCACACTTTTATTTTTTAGGTGCCCATTATGTTATCCATCTCTTGCTATAACTCCGTCATGTAGAAATACAATGTGTATTGTCCCTTCTTTCCTCACCCTTGAATGTCCTTGGAATTTTCCACAACTCCATCTATGATGTGTCATCGCTTCGAAATAAGTTGACAGGATGGCAACTATAAAAGGCAGATTTTGGTTCTCCATTTCTCCAACTATCCAACCCTCACCTCCACCACCCACCACTCTATTGCACAAATGTAATAGCAAAGAAAAATTCTTGTAGCAAAATTTTAAATGTATACTATATTTTTCATTTACAAAACCGAAACTATTGCAAAATGATTTTAACCGCAGATTCGACATCATCATTTTCACATCATATACTCCCTCCATGCCAAAATATAGTGCACCTGCGTTTTTCGAGGTCCAATTGACCATAAATTTAACCAACAAGATCAACTGCGGCAGGAGAATTTTTTTTATAATTGAAAACTTCTTTTGAATACGAATTCACTGGTATAATTTTTGCTCTCGCCGCAGTCTGTCTCGTTGGTTAAATTTAATTATGGTCAAAGTTGAAGCACGGGAATAGATGAAGCACTATATTTTAGAACCAAGGAAGTATAATACAACATGTTAAATAAAGGTTAATCTAGACAAGAATTGTCAGACAAGCTATAGTTAATGTGAACAAGTACTTTTTTCTGCAACTCCATCTATGATGTGTCATCGCTTCGCTCGCCATTACCTATATGAAGTAAATTGTTAGGATAGTAACTATAAATGCA